TGATTGTCAAAGTTGGTAAGTATATAATAATAAAATAATTTTTTAGAAGTGGCTACCTGGGAGGAAGATCAAAAACAAAAAGACAAATTTAAAGAGTCAGAGTTCCTCCCTGGACCCCTAAAAACTCAGTGAGAAGTGCTGACATGAACAGGAGGTAGATTATTCAGCTACTACAAGAAGGTAAAGAACTATTAACTTCCCATCAACTGACCTGTAATGGGAAACAGAGACCTGCTGAGAAGTTCAAGAATTAGATATTACTGCAGTCATCCTCAGAAGCCCTTGGTGTGGAAGATGAAATGTGGGACTTACTGAGATGTGAAACGACAGAAGGTCGGAGGCACTGTGGCTCTGAGAGGCATGCAAGGCTTAGACAAGTCATCCAAATGCCAGTGCAACAACCCTCCAGGCAAAGCGCCCAAGAGCTCGAACTCAGCAAGGGCACAATTGCCACAATCCGCGAGAAAAGAGTCACACAGAGAAGGGCAGCAAAACATATCCGTGTTGAGAGGGACCTGTGATATTAGGGGCGGGCAACAGTGACAGCAGCAAGGCATCACGCATCTGTCTGCAATGGAGGATAGTGACAAGGGAGATCCACATGATGGGGAGACTGGAAGAGAGTGTCTGGTAAAGAAGTGAGACTGATGGGGAACACCAAATCGCAATCTCCTCCTTCCCGCACTCACCATCTCTCCGCCCCCACCCCCACATAAACACCCAGGGAATGATTATTGCCAGTCATAGGGACTGCACAGTTCCCTGAGGGAATCATATACAGTTCGGGTCTTTTCTGAGTATGGGTTTCCATGTGAATTGCTGCTATATTCTTTACAGTTTAAATAAATTTGTTCTATGTTTTGAAGGCTTATGAACGTGAACACTTGTAAGAGGAGGGTGCTGATGGCTATATTCGTTGTAATATCAGATCCTAAGTTTCCCAGCGCCTATCTGAGTGGGGATAACATGCTAGAGACATGAGAGAGCCCCAAAGTGTTACCTTCATATCAGGTGGGGACCTCTGACACAAGAGTTATAATTGGACTTTCCTCACAAATAGCCCACTTCCTTTTCTCATGATGCCTTTAATGTAAAGTACAATTTTCTGCCACTTCTTATACTCAAATCATCGTTGGTGACATTTTGCAATCTCATTATATCTACTATGCCATTTAGAGATGCTTTATTTCATGATGCACTCCCATATATCATCATATGAAGAATTTTGGTGTCAGAAAAAATGGGCTTTTGTGTCAGGGAGTAGCTTGGGAATCACTGAAAGTACCACAACATTTCCCCAATGCAAGTTCTATTCTTCCTCTTCAATTCTGGGTCATCTAATTGTCCACCTGTAATGCCTATCTAAGATATACAGTGTCCCAAAAGTCTTAGTGAAGTTCTGAGCTTTAACCACTTCAGAAGTACAAATGATACAAACTTACAAAAACAATATTTCAAAGGTTAATTACTTAAATTGTAAACTACGTTTCTTGTTAAAATTCAACATAACCCACTATCTTGCGTTATGCCTCAATCGGGTTGATTTTCAAACTTTGTAAAAACTTTCATTAGCTGCTACTCAGTGACAGAAAGGATTGTATTTGTAATCATAGCCTAGATAATACAAAGAATGAGGTTTTGATGAATACACGACAGATTTGATGTGACCCCCACATGACTGAAGTTCTCCTGATCCACTGCTCTGAGAAAGTATCATCCAGAAACTGTTGCACATGCAATATAATGACAGGGTACTTTGTCTTCTTAAAATTAAAATTTATTATTCAAAATTCACAAACAAAAGAGGTATAAATTTAAATGACTAAATTTAGCATTGAAGGAGTATACTTGTGAAAGCTTAAAACATTCTAGGAATTTTAGGACACCCTGAATATCTTAATGGAACAATAGCTCAAAGGCTCGACCATCCAAGTGCACAGTAGGCATAGTCTTCACAGTAGGCATTCTCCATTTATTTTTGTTACAATAAACTTTTTGAATTCCAACAATTTGGAATTTGCTAATATAAGCTAAAGTGAAAAGCTGAACTCAAATTATATACATTGTATGTTGTATATAAGTGCTTAATCATATTGTTTTTCTAACGTGTGAAAGAATCATAGGTTAAGACAAGGAATAATTATTACTTAGCAGTTGCCTCTTTGCCATGGCACACATAAATAGTTTCAGGAATTATGAGATAATATACTCTTAAATTTGTGTGTGTGTGTGTGTGTGTGTGTGTGTGTGAGCACTCTTCTCCCTTGCACAAGATTTTATTCTTAAAAATTTAGAGAAATGCCATAAAAATTTACTTACTGAAAACATGTTTGACTTGTTAGTAAAAGCCCCAGCAAATAAAGTCTTGTTTTTAACATCTATTATTTTGTGACATTTATATATAAAAAAGAAAGCACCACAAAAATATGGTAGTGATTTAACCCTGTATCTGTAAAGAAAAGTACATGACCAGTGACTGTGAATACTTATTGAATTCTTTTTCAATAGAAAAATCTATGAATGCTAAGAAAGCATTTTATTAAAAAATGTGAAATTTTGGGGAAACTGCTCCTCTTTTAATGTACATTGCTAGCATTACTTCCGGTACATTTTAACTGAAATCCTCTTAGTATGCAAAGTAAATAGATTATGATATACTGAAGGATTAGGGCTCCCTGTCTGGTGTCAGATTAATCCCTCTTATAGACCATCACTTGAACTGACAGAAATATGGCTTCAGTTCAGCAAAAGGGCTCTATAAGCGAAGTAATACATTTCATTGTTTTGAGCAGAACAAATGGGATGTTTCTTGATTGATTGCTGTATTGAAATTCCAAATTAAATACAAATCTATCTTTCATAAACACTTTCCTCAGATTGTCACATGGATTCATGAAAATGACATCTATCATACACACAGCCTAGATGGGGGAAATATTACTGTTAAATGTTTGGTTTGATCTTACTTTATTAATGTTAACTCGCCGATTGAAGAGAAACAGCTTTTTGTCTCTTGTCTTAAAAGCATTTGCATGATTTTGTGTATTGCCCTTTGCCAATCAAGGACTGATATACCAATTGTTAATATTTAATAGAGTGTTTCACATAATAGGAGTGATGATATTGTCAGAAAGCCTCTCAATTGCAAATAAATGACTGATTAAAATATAGAGGCATATTCTTCCTCATCAAAAGATCTTTTAAAGGAAATACCTTAACTATACCATTCTGTGAAAATAATTCACTGGCAAACATAAAATTACATTGTTAGAATACTGTGATTTGGTTTTCAATACAAATTCTTTACCTACAAGATAAAAATTACATATATATGTGTATACATGTTTCGAGTCTATGCACTCATAATAATAGTGGGAGAACAAGAAAATAAATGTTTTCTTTTCTTTGAATAATTCAGGACAGAAGTACAGTATTGAATGAAGCAGATTACCACCATTGCTGTTCATTTTACATTAGCAGTTAGAAGTGTAAGATTAAATCTGGATTTCCAATGGCATGATGTTAAAGAGGCTCCACGTCTTTTTAAAAAGGGGAAAATAGTGGTTATTCAACTGAGATTATATTTCTAGATTACAAAAATGGAGAGTATTCTTGGAGAAATACTGCTGCTTTTGAAAGTCAGCTTTTTCATGAAGGTATTTGAAGTCGAGATCTACTCCATTGAAATTGCAATAGAATGATTTTTAGACTCTTAAAGGAGCAAAGGAATATCTGCATCCAAATGAAGAGTTTCTAAAAACGAGCACATGAAGAACAGTATATATAGCATTTCTTTAGTGAAATGTGTTTGGAGTAAAACACTATGCAGAAAAATATTGTGATACTGTGTAGTTTCTTTTCTTTAAATGTTGAGACTTAAAGCAAAAACAGAGGAGGATGCATAGAAACACATTTCTGGAAGTGACTGAAGAGAAATGTATTATCTGGCACTTTACCAAGAAGAAAACTTTAGATCTAGTATTTCAGATATGCTCTCCATATTTCATTCTAGTAATTGGCATTCCAGTTAGAGCTAACTAGAATCAACATGAAAGCTATTCAGGACCTGAGTATTTCTACGAGCAATTGGAGAAGAGCCAAGAGGAGGTCATGCCCAGTAAGACATTTGGAGAGGGGGTTGATTGTACCATTGCTGAAGGAGAAGCCACAGGTGTATTTATACCAAGGGCAGATAGATGCTATTGAGTCTGCAGGATTCTGCTGGTATGACTCTTCTCACCTTAGTGATAAACTGGCCCCTTGGGCATCTCTCTGGGCTGTGGCTGAGCAAGAACATCAATCAGGACTTAACTCTTCATCAATTGGGTCTGACTAATTGATGTCCTCATTCTTCCAACATGTTGTAAAACAAGGCATTCACCAGACAACCAAAATCTCAAAGCACATAGTTTATATCCACTGCCAATACTTGGTTCTTTGAAAATTTGGATCGATTTTGACCTGTAGAACCGAGGGATGAGTGAGGCAGTAGTCACCTAAGAAAAGAATTGGTCATCTGTCAAATTTTATGTAGATAATGCAATGTGAGATTAAATCATATAGTCGATGACCAGCATAATGTGTTTAGTTTGTCCACAGTTAAAAAAACATTTTCTGTTTTACATTTCACTTTTTATAGCAATAAACACGAAATTATATATGGCCATTTGCTTTACCCCATATGAGATTTGAATGTATTCTTTGGGTGACTAGATCAATATTCAGTGGGGACAACTTGAAGTTATGTACTCTCTCTTTAAGTATGTACTCTCTCTGGCCTTTCCCTCTATGCGGTGCTTTTCATACACATCATACGGATAGTACCCATGGGGTTTAGAAGGAGCAGCTAACCTAGAAGTGAACAGCCATTTGATGAGGATACTGCGAGGGGTGTGTAGGAGTGATGGCTGGTGATTGTTTTTGTTTTGTTTTTGGGGTGAGGCAATTGGGGTTAAGTGACTTGCCCACGGTCACACAGCTAGCAAGTGTTATGTGTCTGAGGCCGCGTTTGAACTCAGGTCCTCCTGACTCCAGGGCTGGTGCTCTATCCACTGTGCCATCTAGCTGCCCCTGGTGATTGTCATGTGGGGGGAAACCTACTGAAAAATGGGACTGTGTGTGTATGCCATGTATGTTCTCATTTGGGTACATTAAGGAATAAAGTTATAAAGTCATCAAGGAAAGGATGCTTTTTTTTTGTTACACCAAACCGAAGTGAACCATTCTCAGAGAACCACCTTCTCCAATTTCCTGAAACAAAAAGAGAAAAAAAAATCACACTCTGGAAGATGGAATAAGCTGATTATTGATTTCATAGTAGCTAGATAGCTAATAATTTAAAATATGGGGGGGAAAGTACTTTAAATTATTTGTAATATAAAGACCCATTTTACTGGTAAATTTTAATTCACTGTCTCCTCTCTACTGTGAACTACCAAAGTACTTTGTATTATTTATCCCTTTTCATATTCTACATCATATTATATTTATTTGCACGTCTATCTACATATATGTACACATATCTACATTTACATACGTACACACATATATTATATATGCACACGTATATACACACACACACATATAAATGTATCTTTGACTTTCCCTTTCTCTGGATGGTCAGCTCTGTGAGGGTAAGAAACAGATCTAGTTTATTTTGTATACCCCATAGGGTTTAGCATAGTGACTTAGAAACAACAGGGGTTTTATCAATGTCTATTGAATTCAATTTGAATTATTAAAATCAGAGAAGGAAGGTAGAATACACTTACTATATGAAATACAAGAAAGTCAAAGTTAGAAAAGACCAATTTTAAGTTGAAATTTAAAAATCTATGATATAGAAATTTGCCACAAAGAAAAGGTGAAAAATACCTACTAAAATAAAACACTGTTGTTATAACAACGTGAGAGTCTTATGCTTAATTTTAGTGAATTATTTCACAAATTTTAGCAAATTAAAATTAATTTTTAACTGAGAATGTTGTCATGTCCCTCGACATATTATAATCTAGAATATTACAAAAGTAGGCCTGAAAGTAAAGATGCAAAAGTGTTCTGACAGGGAATATTTTGGGCGTAAGTCCTATAAGGAACTGCAAAGATAGACTTGTCATGATTTTCTGCCCCTGCTGGTTTATGACAAACTTCTTTCTTCACTCACCTTTTTTCCATTTCCCTATCCTTCGGAGGAGAGTCAGGCTCGTTGAATAGATAGAAATCTAAGACGTTATTGAATGAGACATTGAAAGAGACAGGAAATTGGCTAAATGGAGAGTGAAGGTGTCCGTGTGTTATTTGAGAAAGCAAACTATCTTGCTACACGTGTTGCAGTTTAGAGATAGCCAACAAAGAGTTAAAATGGTAAAGGTGAAAAGCAAGGATGATTGCAACGTGGGTTGGGCTATACCGGTGGCATGTGTGGCAAAGGAATTAACATTGATATTTCTCTTAAATTATAGGTTAATCTGAATTTAATTGAACTTTGTAAACTAGTCACCTCTCATTTGAGATATTTCCTAAGTTATCTCTTGACTTCTAAGTGATTTCCAGAAAGTCATTGCCTTTGAACTACATGCAAACAGCCGCACCCCAAAGAAAATGTAGCCATGGAAAGTAAAGGAAATAAAAGTAGGTGCGTGTGTATACCGCTTATATACAGAATAAAAAAAAAAACCCTGGAAAAACAAGTTAAGAAGAAGAATGAGTAATTTAATACTGCCTGGGGCTTGTGTGTGTGCTGGCAAGTTCAGTGGGGTTTGGGTAGCTTTCAATTTAATAAAAAAGAAGAAGAAGAAGAAGAAGAAGAAAAAGAAAAAGAAGAAGAAAAAGAAGAAGAAGAAGAAGAAGAAGAAGAAGAAGAAGAAAAAGAAGAAGAAGAAGAAGAAGAAGAAGAAGAAGAAGAAGAAGAAGAA